CACTGGGAAGTTGCCACTTAACATTTCAAAGAGCGCAAAGAGGCACTTGTGGAAAAAACTGGTTTGTGCTCATCTTAATCCAAAAATAATAACTACATCTCTCATTGTATAGTGATGCCTCATAGTGATGACACGCTACCAGTTTACAAAATTCTTACCTGTTCATTATATAATCTGATTTGCAAGACAAAGCTAGATGGCCAGAGATTACCCTCTCTATTTTGCAGATATGAATGGTTTGACCAAGCTCACACAGTTACGAAATAGCAGAAGAGAGAATGTAGATCTTTTGATCATAGCTCCAAAGTTACTTCAGCTCTACCACAGCCTTTCTGGCTCAGCTCACTATTTTTCTCCCTGCTGCTGAAACATTTCACCACAAAAGAAGAAATTGCTCCATGGAACCAGCCTCATCAGCACATCACGCTTGCAGTTGGTACACAACAAGGAACATAAAGCTCTGCTTCTGACTCTGACAGGTCACCTTTCAGGATTAGAGGAGTACTGGACCCCATACTGTCAGATACAATGAGAGCACTTGCTGATGTATGCTCGAATTCAATGACACCCATGGAATAGAACTGCAGGAAAACTGACAGCAGAGTCCTTGCTATGTTATGAAGGACCATAACATTTACAGTACCTATAGATTTCTCTTACAGTTTCAGCTGATCACAAGCCTCCTTGAAACCTCACTTTTTCCAAGGATGGGCTGCCACTCTAAATTATGGCACTGAAGATGCAGTCCAAAGTATTCTGTTTAGGGCCTATGATTATGAACTGTCTACTTATCAAAAAGAATAATGATGAAGGCAGGCATCTTGAGCTATACCAGTCAGCTTCATATCAGCCTGAGTTTCTCAATCCAGCACTATTAGTACACAGTATCCTGTGTACTGTAGGGCATTTAGCAGCATTTAGCATCTTTCCTCTACCCACCAGATGCCAGTAGTAAATGCACTAGGTGTCCCTTACCCCATTATGACAACCAAAAATGTCTCCATACATTGCCATATATCCACTAGGGAGTAAGATCACCTCCAGTTGCAAACCCCTGATGTAGGGCCTTAATATATTCTTCCAAATTCTTGAAAGGCCCCTGGATTCCCGGTGATGGAATGATTACGTGAGTTCCCAGATTGGCCCATGGCTCAAAGTGATTGGGAAAGAAATAACTAAAAGAGAAACTATCTGAATATATCAAACTATATTTTGAAGTTTGCAAATAACTATCTTGAGTTATCCACTTAGAAAAGATGTCTTTACTTATCTCCATTTTGGGCAGAATAAGGACTTGAGACGAAGAGAATTAAATTGGTCATATTCTTCAATCAATGACATCATTGGTTTCTTCTCCCATATGTGTGTATATAGGCATTTAGATACTTTCTTTACCCCCATTCCTTATTCTCATCCCCCTCATTCTTCAGTGGGATTTATCATACTATGTTTAACATATATCTTTCTGTCTTTAAGTGTCTTTGTGTAACACGTACCATTTTGAATACATTCTTCTCATTTAAGTAAATAAAGGTCCATAATCATTTATCAGAATTATGAAATCTACCAAGTTCTGGACACCAAAAGTTTTTTCTTAAACTCAGTTAGCAGAAAAATATGACTCAAGGGACAAGAGGTTATTTGTATTCTTTACCCACTTAGTGTAACCATTCCTACATTTTTCTGCAGAAATATTATGTTTAATTAGGAGAGCCTCCTCTTCCCTTTCTAAAGTCCAAATTCTTTGAATTCTAAACTAAAGCTGAATCCAAGGGGTTTAATTGTCTACCTGTAGTAGTATGTACAGATCTATATTTTGTTTTTACCTCTATATTTATATCCAGTACCATGTTTTTAAGACCTATGCATGTTGCTGCATGTACATCCCATCCATTACTTATAACTGCTACAGAATATTCCGTAAAGTGGATCCCTCACATTTCGCCTACTCATTCTCCAATGTTGGGCAACTAGATTACCTCCAAATCCTCACCACTATAAACAATGACTTAATGAACAACCTCACACATGTCCCTTTAGGGGCCTGCATAAGAATCTCTTCGGGATATATACTTAAGATAGAACATGGAGTCATCAAGTGTGCATGTATTTAATCTGACCAAGCCAGAATGCCATCCAATATAGCTGCATCCATCTACTTGTATTATATAAAGGACCCTGGAATCCTACATTTTCAACAACACTTGTCAGTATCCATATACTTATTTTTGCCAGTCTCAATTACAAAATGATATCTCATTCTTGTTTCCATTTGCATTTTTCTGATTATAACATATCTGAGTATCTCAAAAAGCTGGTTAGCCTTTGGGTTTTCTGTAGATCACCTGTTTATAAGTTTTGCCCGTTTTCATTGGGATTTCTGTCTTGTTCTTTCTGATTTACAGGAGTTCCTTGTATACTTCCCTATTGGTTTTAGACATTGCAAAACATCTTTTCCCAATCTGTCAGCTGTTGTTCACTTTGTCCATGGTTAACGAGAAATCATACTACAGAAATTCTTAATTTTTATGTATTCATATTTATCAGTATTTGGTCTTATGGCTTGGGGCTTTGATGGTTTTAAGAAATCCTTCCCACTCTTGAGTGACAAAATAGTTTCCTACATTTTCTTCCACTACTGTAATAATTTTACTTTTCACATTTAGTCTTTAATCCATTTCTAAGTGGCTTGGCTTCTGTATTTTGTTTTAGGTTGGAGTCCAGTTTTATTTTTCACCGCATAGTGAGCACTTTCTACTAAACAATCCATACTTTCCTCATTAATCTGGATGTCATCTGTATCTTATGCCAAATACCCATATATACGAATCTGTCTCTAATTTTTCTATTTTGTTTCAGTGGTTCATCTGGCTGTTCTTTTGTCAAACACTATTTTTATTACTATTGCTTTGAACTATGTCTTTATTATCTGGAAGTACCAATTCCATGTCTTCATGATTCTTTTACAAGTTTATCTTAGATATCTATATGCTTTTATTCTCATATATTTTAGGGTAGGTTTATTATTAAGTTCCTCAAAACTTATTTGTAATTTATATTGGGATTGTATTGAATATATAAATTAATTAGAAGAGACTTGAGCTCTTTATATATTAAGATCTTCCACCCAAAAGTATAGAATTTATTTCCATTTCAATTAAATCACTCTATGTTCTACATTTAACTGCATCCTAAATGGCAACAAACAGCTCTTCACCTGTCATTTGCTTCACACAATCTGTTAGGTGAAATTGTTTCTGACAGCGCACTGGTCTCCATTCCCACAGGAAATTCACAGATGGGAGCATTGGAAGGAGCCTTAATGATCCACTATTGCTCTTATTTACACACATCTAAAAGACCCTATCACCCTCAAGCAGATGATTTGCCTAGCGGGGCTGATGCCAACAACAGAAAGAGCTTGAATCAGGCCAGGGGCTATCACAGCTTTCTCTTAGTTGGCTTCATCACCCCATCTTCAATGGAGATTGGCTCTGCCAAGTTTTCATAGTAGTACCTCAGGGCTAACGGTGACCACATCTAATCTGACATCAATGAAGACCCAGAGGAGAGAAAGAAGAAGCACCTACTCTTCTTTCTTGTATCCCAAAAAGTTTATCCCTATCCAAGATCGGGACCTCTGCAGAAAAGTGGACACTGGCAGCTCCACAGTGAAGTCCTGGAGCCCTTACAGTTGAAGTGCAGTAAAACCCATCAGAAGCTTTGAGTGAATGACCAAACACACCCTTTCCTTTCATACACACCCAGGATGACTAATGCTTGTGGTAGAAATGAGTGAACTGAAAAGTCCCACAAGAACCTCAAACCCAATACATCCAAAATGGAACTTTTGTCCCCCAAACTCACTCCCCTCTTACAGTAACCCCGTGCAGGAATGGAAACAACCCCTATTCAACCATTCTCAGTGCCTTTCTGCCCCCTCCCCACCCCCCACCTGAGGAGTTACCAAGCCTTGGCCCCTATCTGCCCTGAGAATCCCTCCTGCCCACCCCCTGTTCTCTATTCCGAATGGAATCTTGGCCATGCCCTCCCAACTGCTCCCTCTGCTCCACTCCTGACCCCGGGGATCCATCCTCAATACTACTGCTGAAGAAATCTTTGCATCATGCAAATCCGACCATGTCTCCTGCCTAAAACCCTAGAAGACTTCCCACAAACCTCAGCAGATTGTAGACTCTTTAGCATGGCATCTATTACCCTCACGGCACAGCCCCATTGTCTTCTCCAACCTCACACTCTGACAGCAGAACCTCTAGATCACTACTTTCCTCTACTCTTCCTGACTGTGCTTCTATATCCTATTCCCCCTACCTAGAACCTACACCCCACCACACTGAAAGTGGTCTAATGCCTATTCATACTTCAATACTCAGGTCGGGGCTGCCCCCGGCTCCCGGAAGCCTCTGCTGCTTCCTCACCCCCACTACTCCTGCTGAGGTGCCTTTTCCAAGCTTCTTCTCCCAGGACCCTGTGCATCCATCCCACTAAATTGTCACGATTCCCTCCAGGACGCTGTAAGAAACTGCATTCTATAAGAGAGCAGTTACTGCGCAGCCAGTCTGGTCTAATCCTTTTTCATGTTTAAGATAGAACCCAGGAACAAAACACACTGAGTTAGACTTGGTGTGGCAGGGACCCAAAGGGGCCTGTTCAAGGCTAGGTATCCCGTGCCTGGCACAATGTTGGCTTGGAACATTATAGACCATCTGAATGAATGAATAAATGAAGGCAGGAACGTATGAATGAATTGCCCATGCCCATGCAGAACTAGGCGGAAGGTCAGGATCAGCGTACATCCTGGATATGCTATATGAAAAGTGGATGGCACTACTTGGCGCTCTGCCGGGAGGGGGCGCTGCAGGGCGGCGGGGCTCAGGCTGGGTAGCTGGGGGTTGGGGGCGGGGGCCGTCCCAGAGACAAGAGGCAGGGGGTCGGGCGTGCCCGGCAGCCCGGTGCATCCTACTCCGCGCGAATTTCGCTTTCGCTTTGGGCCAGGTCGGAGGCGGCGGGGCCGTCCCGAGAGACTGCAGCTGGATACCCGGGGAGTTAATCCGAAAGCGCCTCAAACCCAGCTTGGTCGAATTCCACGTGTCACCAAGAAGCTGATGTAGAGAGAGACAGAGAGAGAAAGAAAGCAAGAGACCAGAGTCCTGGGAAAGTCCTGCCGCGCCTCGGAGCAATTATAAAAATGTGGCCCCCTGGGTCGGCCTCCTAAACACCGTCCTCACCTGCTGCATCCAGCCCTCGACGTCCAGCTGCTGGCTCGGTGTCCGCGCAGCGCCCACTCAGCATGAACCCACCGCACGGTGAGTACCGGGGCGGCCAAGGCTCGGGGCGCCGGTGGGGAAGGGAAGCAGCCCGGGAACAGGAGGCAGAAACTCGGGACTGCTCAGGGAGACTGAAGACAATCAGCAATTTCGTGTACAGAGAGAAAGGGTGGGGAAAGACTTATCCGTGGTTACCGTGCGCAGAGCAGGACACTGTCTTTTAATCTTGAAACAGCCCTGTGAGCTAAATATCATTGTGCCCACTTCACGAGTGAGAAACTGAGGCCCCACGGGATGGTTTCTTGCCCAACGTCCCTCAGCTACAGCGCTAAGAGGGCAGATCCCAGCCTACTTCAAAGTGAGGCTTTGTCACCCCACTCTTTTCAAAACACTGGGTGGTGAGCCTGGCGAGTCACTTCACCACTTAGCCTCAGTTTCCCAGCTTGTGAAGTGGCAATTTTTTCGGAATGAGCTCTGAGTCCAACACCCTTGTCTGAGCTATTGGGGGTCTTCAGAGCCAGTTGGCTTCTAACCCTACAATAGAGCACTGCCTTCCAAGAACTTGATTCATCTCTCAGGTGTTCAAGGAAGATTGAAAAAGGGTGGAGGGAGGAAGGTGCTCAGAAGGTGGACGAGTTCAGATGGCCAAAATGGATGGAAGGTAGAGGCAGGCCAAATCGTTTAGGCCGACAAGCTGAGTCCGCCCCATCATTCCCTTCCAGGACTCCTCCTTGTGGCCACTCTGGTCCTCCTAAACCACCTGGACCACTTCAGTTTGGCCAGGAACCTCCCCACAGCCACACCAGGCCCAGGAATGTTCAAGTGCCTCAACCATTCCCAAAACCTGCTGAGGGCCGTCAGCAGCGCACTTCAGAAGGTGAGCTTTTCAATGTCCCACTTTGCAGCCTCTCTAGGGAAGGGGTTTCTCTGAACCCCTAGTCACCTGAAGGAACTGCAGGGAAATTGTGGACGTTAATCAGGAGCTGTCAAGAGAGGAAGAGGGAACTTTACAAATGGCCCAACTATTAGCTAAAGAGTCTCAATGAAATTGTGTCTCCAGAGAAAGCAAGAGTGGTAATAAATTATAATGGCATTCATTTTGGCTGTGTCTATACAGAGGAAAGTGGATATTTACAGTGTTCCCTGTAGCCTGCCAACAGAGATGGAATTGTGTCAGGCCCACACTGTTTCTCTGACACACTTATCAATCCAGGAAACCGTTATTAGGTGCAGCCTCAGTGCTCCAGGGGCTACAAAGACAAATTAGACTTACCCTTCACGCTGCTCACCAGCTTCCAGTCTGGTGACTCAGTGTGTTGTCGGAGCAATGCATTTTAGGGAGCCTGTGACAGTACATATCCAGCCTTCATTTTTTAGGGATAGAGTTATATAATTTTATTTACAGCCTCATTCATTTTTTAGGTTTCCAATTTTAATGCAAAAAAATTTTTTTTTGCCTTTCAAAGCTGTTCCAGTGGCTATTGCTTTTGCAATGGCCAAACACTCTTTTGCCTTCTTGCTCTCTAGTAAATCTTTCTTGAATATTTTTAGCTTGTTGTTTTATGAGGATCTTAAAATAAACTCAGTGCCACAAGGCCTTCTTAAAGAACTCCTTTTTCCCTTATCTTTCATAATGTGCTGCCGATTGTTCCTTACAGTTCAATCAATCTTAATTAAAAAGGCGGCTCACCAAACGAAAACTGTAGAGATAAGTGCTTTGGTTCTTGAAGAAAGGTTCAATATGGATAAAATTTAGGCGCTCCAGTTTAAATAGATGCTTTATGTGAAAAAGCTGATTCTTCTACTCCCAGTTGTAGCATGGAAGGTCAAAAGATTGTAGAACTCAATTTGATATACATTTTTAAATATCATTCCTGTGTTAAATTTGCCAGAACAAATAGCTGGCTAACACAGAAAACAGAGGTGGCAAGTGCATGCCATTCACTGGCCATATCCACCTCACAGTTTTGCAGAGTTCACCCCATGTCTTTTATATTTTACTTTGAATTTTTAGTTCGATGCTATTGAAAAAGTAGACCTTTCATAAAAGCATCCAAATTTCCAGCTTCTCTTGAAAAAATCTGAAGAACTCTAACAGTGGGCCCACATTTCTATATCTAACTTTGTACCGCCTGCTCAGGAGAGTGGCTGCCCGGTCCACTTGGACCCCTCCAGGAATAGGGTATTTGTTTTCTACTGCTGCTGTAACAAATTACCACAGACTTAGTGGCTTTAAACAACCCAGATTTATTATTTTACAGCCCTAGAGGTCAGAAATCCAAAATGGATCTCACTGGGGTAAAATCAAGGTGTCAGCAGAGCCATATCCCTTTCTAGAGACTTCAGAGGAGATTCTATTTCCTTGCCTTTTCCAGCTTCTAGAAGCTGCCCACATTCCTTGGTATATGGCCTCTTTCCATCTTCAAAGCCAGCAATGGCCAATTGAGTCTTTCCCATGCTGCGTCACTCTGATTTTGACTCTTTGACCTCCCTCTTTCATTTATAAGGACTCGGTGATTACACTGAAACCACCCAGATAATTCAAGATAACCAACCTCTCTATTTTAAGATTTGCTGATTAGCAACTTAACATCCTCTGCAACCTTAATTCCCTTTGCCTTGTAACATAACACTTTCTCAGATTCCAGGGGTTGGGAGGTAAATATGTTTGGGGGGGGGGGATGTGCCTTATTCTGCCTACCAGACAGGAATTTTACTACCAGCTCCCAAATATGTTCTGTACTCTCAAGCCTTGATTCATGGCTCATGCAATTCTCTCTGCCCGAAACGCCTCCTCCTCTGCCATCAACATTCTAACCTTCTTAATACCAACGTCTGTCTCCAGTGAAGCGTTTGCTTCTCTTTTCAGCCCATCCCCAGGACCTTTACACCCTTCTCAGTGCTTCTACCTGCTGACCCGCCTCCTAGTCCTTTGGGCACTTGTCTGTCTTCTCAGATGAACTTAGAATCCTGGGGGATGTAACACAGTCCTCTTCGTTGTCATGTTCCTTAGTACCTAGCATAGTGCCTAGCACACAGCAGGCTTGTTGAATGGAAAAATGATCTCAATCTTCAATCAAAAAGTCATCTATTTCTTAAGTTTCATAATTATATTCAACTGTGCCTTCCAACATATTTGAAGGATGATAGCTACATGTGTGTGTACCACAAATCTCAACTTGTCTTTAAGGTTCCATGTTTGTTATATCCATCGAATTATGAACTTAACAGTTCCCCTTTAGAAGTTATAATTTAAAAGATATTCATAAAACACTGGAGCTTTGGCAGAAGGAAAAAAAAAACTGTTTTCACCAGAAGCAAGTGTCACAGTGTGTAGATGCTGATCAGCACAGCCTGTTGAAATGACTTATAGTGTTTACATAATGGAAAAACACATCATCCAGGGGAACATGTCGTAAACGCAAAAGGAGAGGAGGGAGGGAGAGAGTGCCAATGACCTGTTTCCTTTTGTCTTATGAAAAGCCCAAATTTCCTATAGATCAAAGGAATAGAGGTCAAGGGCAGCCAGCTCTGGCTTTGCTGCACTCCATGGTATGGGGAGCCAGGTGCCTTATGATTACAAACTAGGTTTCTCCTTATGTTTTTTACAGGCCAGACAAACTCTAGAATTTTACTCCTGCACTTCTGAAGAGATTGATCATGAAGATATTACAAAAGATAAAACCAGCACCATAGAGGCCTGTTTGCCACTGGAATTAACCACGGTATGGATGATTTTCCTCCAAAAGCACGTAATACAATTAAAAGCTGTGTGTCAAAGTCATTTTCTTCCCAAAAATGTGCATGTTGCTGGTCTCCACCATCATGGGACTTTAACAGGTCCCACTTCAAAGTTAGATTTAAAAAAAAAAATTATAAAAACAGATATGGTTTTTCACAACAATGTGAATGTGCTTAATACTACTGAACTGTACACTTAAAAATAGTTAGATGGTAAATTTCGTTGTTTTTATCCTAATTTTAAAAAACATGTATTTGAGAAGGAAAGTCAGAAATTTTTATATTAAGAATATCTTTGATGTGTGGTTTTTTTTCCCTCTAGAATGAAAGTTGCCTGGTTTCCAGAGAGATCTCTTTCATAACTGTAAGTCGAAAAATTAAAGGATTCAGCCTATTTTATGAATTTATACCATTGATGTCTGATTTTTTTTTTCTTCTAGAATGGGAATTGCCTGGCCTCTGGGAAGGCTTCTTATATGATGGTAAGGCACAAAACTCTTTCCTCAAATGCAGTAGGGGGTCGGGGATGTTTCTAGACCATCTCAATGGTTTCTACCCCATTTTGTCATATCACCTAGACCCTCTGCCTTAGTAGTATCTATGAGGACTTGAAGATGTACCAGGTGGAGTTCAAGGCCATGAATGCAAAGCTTTTGATGGATCCTAAGAGGCAGATCATTCTGGATCAAAATATGCTGGCAGCTATTGATGAGCTAATGCAGGTAAGGGCTTCATCCTATCAGTGAGAACAACTCCTTTGTGCTGAGACAGCCAGCCAGGGTCCCCGAAGAGGTATACAGTCAGCCCTTCCTGGACTAGGAGAGGCCTGAAATCCCCTTCTATAGCTCCTGCAGCGCTATGGCCTCGAGGGCGCCCTCTAGAGAAAGGGCAAATGTGAACAAGTCCAATTAAATAAAGCAGCCACCCATCTGTTACAAGTGGTATGCACCAGGCAAATGCTTTCATACATTTTCTAATGTCAGCCCTACAACAACCATTTGGGGTCTGTACAAAGGTGGAAACTGAAGCCTAGAGAGTGAGCCACTTGTCCGAGGTCATACAGCTTTTAAGTGGCAGAGCCAAAATCTAAGCCCCCATCAAAGGGATTCCACTGCAATTCTCACTCACCTCTAAAGGCTCCAGGATGGGCTTGTGAGTGACAAGCATGCAAAACAAGAGAAAACAAGCAGGACTAGTGCCAGTGCATGACCCATTCTGAACCAAAATGTGAATGAAATGAAATAATGACCTATCACCTGGGGACCGCCACGTTACTCATAAACAAGAACTTGCTTTGTAATTTCTGAAGCATCATAGCACACGATGCTAATACAAAACATAGAAATATTCATGTAAGAAAGAGCAGGGTGAGTGATCAGGGCATGCGATAAAAATGTGGTATCAGAAATCATGTCTAAAAAGGGCTTTATTTTTATTTCATTCATTCATTTTTTGGGGGGGGTGCCAAATTACTTGTTCAAAAGGCAGCGAGTGTAATACGAGTATCAAAGAATGTTACCATCCAGTGAGTTGCGGATATTTCATTTTCAGGACCAACAGTCAGGTGATTTGGGCACCGGAATCAATTCTACCAGTAATTAGACTATGCCAAGCCATTTGCCCCTGGGTGCCTCAGTTTCTTCCTCTATAAAATGGGAGGACTTTAGCCACCCTACCTTTCTTTTAGGCTTTTTCTGAGGAACAAGTATTGATCATTGTGCAAATATAAGGTCTTGCATTGAGTTTTCAAAGGGCTAAAAGTCGGAGGTTTATTTATGTGACCTATATGAGTGTCTGTAGTCAACAGGTCTGTTACTGATAAAATGTTTCGATCAATAGCAATCTATCACCTCCCTGTTCTAAAAAGGACTTAGCTTCTTAATGTAACATATAAGAATTAATTCGATTTGCAGCAGATGTCATCTTAACAGAATTGTTCCTGTCTAAAATGTAACTTCCACTGATGATTTTCTAAATAGCTTTAAGGGTCTTTTCAGAGCTCACTGAAGATACATGTGCTTGGATAATGAGAATTTCTTCTCTCAGGTTCTGCCTGGCCATCTGGCTGGGAGTAGACTGGCTTGGGTTTAGATGTCATGAGGGAGTTGGTTGCAAGGCTCTGAAACATGTGTTGGCTTCCCCCATTTTTATGGATGAATGTTTTAATTTTGGAATACCATATATGTCATGCTCAACATTTATTCTCCTAGGCCCTGAATTTCAACAGTGAGATTGTGCCACAAAAACCCTTCTTTGAAGAACCAGATTTATATAAGACTAAAATCAAGCTCTGCATCCTTCTTCATGCTTTCAGAATTCGTGCAGTGACTATTGATAGGATGATGAGCTATCTGAATTCTTCCTAACAAGCTGAAGTCTCCCCCAACCTTAAAGTCATATTTATAAAAATCTGAACCAAAGAATTTTTAATAGAGAGGGGGTGACTTTACCTGGTTCTACTTAAGCTAGTACAGTAATTTTCATGTTTACATTAGTCACTACCCAAAAGTTGAATGCTGTGACTACTATATTCACATGATTCCTTTCATCAAGTATATTTCACATTTACTATGGATAAGTAAGTTGTTTTAAAGTTTTAATGAGCAAATTGCTAAGGAGGGAAAATTTCTTCACTGAACATTTTTTTTTCTTTTTAATAGAAGAGCAAGAATTCATAAGCTATTTCTATATCAGTGTTTGTAGAAACACTCGAGCATAATTTATTTTAAACTATTTATTTATATAATTTTGTGTTCATGAAAGCATGTGAATTTTTATTTATTTATGTTATATTTATTAAAATATTTATTTTCAAATGGATTTGAGAAATACCATGTTCGAAAAATAAAATGATTGAATTAAAGTAACTCTCATATTTTTCCAATGTAATTGGAGTACTTTAAGTGTTAACACACACATTGTGAGAAAACTGAAAACTGATGAAATCTGAACAAAATTACCTTGAAAAGAATGCCACGATATTCTTACCCATTTCCTAACTCCTTTAATCTCATATTTTAAAGGGAGCCTCATAAAACTAGATATGCTTTCACACTGAAGCCATTAAAGTTTTTGAGAGTATACTGTATTATTTTTGTTCAACATCTGAATCCAAAATACATAAAAATGTTTTTCCCTGTTAGCCACAGCCCCATCACATACTGTGCATTAGACAAATACATAATAATAACCTCCAACTGGGAAAAACATCATTAAGAGAACTTCTAGTTAGATTATTCTAATTGTTGTGCCCCTTTGGGCCCTTGGGGGAAGTTGTTTCTAAATTACAATGAGAAAAACTCTCCATTTGCTTTAAATTATATAGAACTTCTGCCTGAACCACATGGATAATTGCCTTGCTTTGGCTTAAGAGATGTGCTCTTAATGATGCAAGTATTAAATTCCATCTTCTTAATACTCTAAACCATGTGAATTTTAAAAGGTTCAGCTGACAGAATACCACGTAATTTTAGTGCTCTGACCATCATATTCCTCCTTAATATGAAAAGGAGGAATAAGAAACAAACTACTCAGATCGGCCCTCCTTTCCTCATGTAGAATCCCCACCACCTGGTTGACTCCAGTGCCCATCCCTTCAAGAGGAATGTGTTTGGCCACCCCAGGTCCTCATCTGTGTAGCAAATGTACTCGTTTTTCAGATTCCCACCCCACTTGATATACAATTAGATAGAAATCACTGGAAGCTGGATCCCATCGCATCTCTCTTTTTCTTTAGGGATTACTCCACAAGCTTGAATGACCCACAGAGTGGTTCATAGACAGGAGTTACTTGCCATTAAGTGTCAGGTTTGAAGTTGCAGCAGCTTTCATTAGGGAAGAGCTCTATGGCTTGATGGGGCTGGGAAAAAAAGAGTTGCTGCTACCCCTCACAGAATGGCAACTTGTCTCTTGTCTGTTCCCAGAAACAAGAGAGGCAAATAGATCATCCATCCCATGGACGGGGTTTATACAGAGAAACACAAGTGTTACTTTACTTCTAGAAATTACTATGATGTATGCTTCAAAAACACAACTGGCACAAGAAACATCTTCCCAACCAACTCCACCCTTTGTTACATGGTTAGTTTTCCATTTTTTTAGAGCCTGAGTCTGCAGTTTACAAGTTTAACGTGGTCACATTTTTTTAACCTCACCCCGTTTCTTCTTCTAAGAAATGAAGATAATACTAGAACCTGCCTCAAAGATCAGCAGGTTGGAACAACTCATGCAAAACACTAGCAATATGTGCACAATAAATGTGAGCAATTTTTGAAAATTATTATTAGTCTTTGGACTTGGTGACCAGGCTAAATTGGTTAAAGCTTCTTTGTTACTATTATCTCTGCAATTCGAAAAACTGTAGCCCCTATTTCCCAGGGCTGTTATGAGAATTAAATGACACAGTACAGTCAGTGCTGGCATGTAGTCAGCGCTCAACATCGATTGTTTTAAATTGTTAGACTGTTTGTTTAATGACCTGAGTGACACTGCCCCTCCACGGCACTGGGCCTACGGTGGGCATTCACAGGAGGCTGTCTGGTGCAAGACTCAAGGGCAAAAAGGCAGGGCTCTTGCCTTCGCAGAATAAAGGGTGGGAAGCAAAGTAACCTAATAAGACCGAGGCCCCCTAAACACATTCCCCAGTCCTAACCTATTAGAGATTCCTTTGATTAACAAATTACTTTTTTAAAAAGCAAATAAACAGGGAAAGTATTTCTCACATCTGAGAATAACTTAATCAGATAATTAACATGAAAGCCAGCAGATACCTATCCCACTGAGGGCCCAGAGCTTTGGGGAACAGGTAAAGTTCTGGGGAGTGATCCAGGCAGACATTCAAAGGTGGGTATTAGACAACTCAAATGAGATGCAAAAGGACCTTAGGTACCATAAGGAAAGGAAACATAGGAACAAAAAGGGAAGAAACCAGCTTGGCCCGGGGCAGCGCTGCATAGATCATAAATACCCTGGGCTAGTCAGTTGCTGTCCTCATTTGAGGACTGAACATCTGGTTGTAGTTAGCATAATTTTGGTTTCCTAGTTTTAGGCAAAGTGCATTACAATATTGCTATGGACTAAATGTGTCGCCCTAAAACTCATGTTGAAACCCTGATGGTATTTGGAAATGGGGACTTTAGGAGGTTAGTTAAATCATAAATATGGAGCTGCCATGATGGCGTTAGTGCCCTTATCAGAAGAGGCACAGAGATCTCCACTCCCAGCATCCCCATGTGAGGACACAGTGACCAAGTGGCCAGCTGCAAACCAGGGTGGTTGCAGGGAGCCTGTGCAACCACTGCATCCTTCTGCCTCTTGTATAAAGGTCACAGTAAGTCATGGGACACTTCAGTCATAACCATACAGACATCACCATAGCTTTTATGTATCCCCTCTCTGCCTATACTTGTGAGAACCTCAAGTATAACAAATGTCATGTTATTCATGCATTTGTGTTCTCGGGCCCCGTTACTCAAAAATAGTAGAAAGAGAGAAAAAGGCAAATCTTCATGGGTTCCCACCTGTTTTTCATTTCCTTTTCTAATCTAGAAATAAAGTCTTTATAGTCTTTAGCATCAAATTATTCCCAATTACAAAAAAAAAAAAAAGTTAAAAATCGAAAAGGCACATGCTTGCTTGGTTCAAAACAATTATATATGCTTACGTTGGGGGGAAAAATCCAAAATTCATTAGCCTGTTGATTTGAATAATTTACATATCTATGGCTTGGGATTATGTGGTTACTGTCCTGCAGAAATACTGTGCCAACATACCACAGTGGTGAACCAGAAAGTAGTTTACTTCACTTCACGTTGCAGATGTCTTAGAAACAAACTCCCCGATGACAGTTTAAAAAACCCTAGCATTCACCTCACTGGCTGGTTCCCACACTGCAGGGGGCTCAGCAAGGCTCCTCAGGTACCTCTCAACTGCCCTCAGAAACCCTCCAACCACAGCAGCTCCTCTTGTGAATGCTCTGCCAACGCAGGTTCCAGGTAAGATTTCCTTTCACGAATGGCTTCCACAGCCAAGGAAAAGTTAGAAACTCACTGAACTAGTCCAAGCTCCTCCCTGCAGGTTTTATAAGTAACAAAACCATCTTTTTGATTTACCAACTTGCTTGAAAATAAAACACTGCTATCAAAGCATAGAGCATACACTCCCTTCTAAGAATGAACCTTATGCCAGAGGTTACAGCAAACAGCAAGGATGGACTTCCACAGAACAAGGATGGCTGACTAACTCTAGGCTGTCTAACTAGGAATCCTCATCAAGATTGGAACAAACTGGATTTAAGTCTACTGGCAGAACCGGAAGGCCCAGAGAAGCAGCAGAAGAACTTCAGAACTCCATGCTCAGATTTCAACCCCAGGACCTCTATTTTGGTATCAGCAGTTACAGAGCCATTATCAGAAATGCTCAAACCATGGAACGTGGGTTGGAAAAGACATAATTCCAGCAGTAACTCCCTGGTTACCCAGCTGGGATCATGCTCTTCAGCCCGCGTTGTGCTGCTTCACCCCAAGAAGGACTTCCGGCAATGGGCAACGGGCTAGGCTAACTGCTGAGACCCCCCATCCTCATGAGAACACCTTTAAAAATCAGCAAATACAGTGGCCTCTTTAGAAAATGGCGTGAAAATGTGCTTCCACATGACAAAGCTAGGGAGGAAACTTTTCCTCTAAAGCAATACAATACAAGAACAAAATGAGTCACGAATGTACAAATAAAAATCCCATTAGAGAGATGCACAGGTGAGGAACTATTATGAATCCAGTGTTTTTAAATAAAAACACACCTTCCTATCTTCCCATCATGGGGGGAAGGGGCTCTAAATCATTTTTGGAGTGACATGGGTTAAGGGGAGGTGCAGGTTCCCCTGAACCTGTGTAAATTCCTAGATGACCTAGTTTACTCGAGTTTACACTTACTCTGCCTGCATTCCAAGAACTGGAGTGCTGGGCACAAAACCAACTAGTGTCCAAACAGTCAAAATAATAGCAGTCGAGGAATATGACGCTTCAAAAAATAATCTGTAAGTAAATAAGAATACAAAGAAACCACATTTGCACTGTACGAATGCAGATTTATTTTTCTTCCCTTCATCCATAGTATGAAAAAGGTTAAAAAATTATTAGGAAACCAGCTTATATACAAAGCACCTCTGAAATGACGCATGTCTTCAAAAAACAACTTATAAAAAATAATAAACATTTAAAAATTCAAGTCCTTTAAGTAGTTTAACTTCTGAATGTTAAAACTCCATGTGTTTCCTAAAATATAGTACATTAAAAAAAAAAAAACTCATAAAGTGACGCTGATTTGATTTCCACAGGATCCCTGATAATTAAAAATATATTCTTCCCTATAGAGTCAATTTGTTCTTCACAGGCAAAACAATCAAATGTGTTTCTCTGATTAATTCATTGAGATTTATTTTACTCTCCAGCTAATGTTGACAGAAGACTAATGGTAATTTATAGTTTCTTCAAATAAGTTAACAAAACATATCAAAAATGTTAAATCACCACATGCATGATTCTGGGAGAGGGACAATATACATACAAAAAAAAAGAACATTTCACCAATTAACAAGAGCCAATGTGGCCCATTATTCCCTGGGGCAAGTCTTCTTCAAGAAGAGATGACAGTTTTCCCTTGGTCCTGCTAAGGTATTTCTGAGTAGGTTTTTTCCCCCTATAAAGTGAATGATCCCAGGGTAAAAGTCGGGACGTGCAGTGTTTGGCCTGGTGACTGTGGAAGGTTGATAAAAATTGCTGCGACTGACAAATCGATCCGGGTGAATCTGCCCAGTAAGGTGAGGCGATCGACACCGATGAGAGAGGATTACATTCCTTTCTAATCACTCCAAGACCAGGTAACGTGATTGGTCAAATGACTTAGCAGACCACTAGCCAGACAGGTTAGTAAATGTGAGATACGGAAATCATACCCCACATAAAATGATGTATTGTACTCAGAGACACATGTGTCTGTCTGTGTGGGAGCTAAAAGAAGAGGAACCTCTCTTCGTTATTAATGTCAATAAAAGCTAAACTAAATTGGTGCAAGTTTAAGTACACTACCATTTAATTGCTAAAAATGTTTAAACCCTTGATATGAATTTCATAGTCCACAGACTCCAAAAAGAAAATTACCACATTTCTCACCTGACTGAGTTGAGTCATTTTAAGCACCCTTTATAATTATACCAGTTTGGGTGGGGAGGCAGGGTGGGATGGTGTGAGCAGGAGGTGCCAAAAAATAAAAATAAAATTAAAAAAATCTTGCTATTGTAGAGGTGTTTTCTTCCTCAAGTTTTCTGAATATTTTTCATTCTCTTTGCCTCTATAGAGTGACTGATTATAAAGAAAGTTGCTTCCACAGACTGTGAAAGTTCAAGGTCTCATGGAATCTATAACCAATTACCAGTTGAAATGATGCTTTGCAGATCAAAGTTCCTGAGGTTTCCTTTTTCAGTTCATCTTCTAAATTTCATATTGCCCGTAAGAAACCTAACAAAACAAACAAACAAAAAAATCAAACAAATTCAGGGATTTACTGTTGGAGGAAAAAGGGGCATGCTTTGAAATAAAATTACTTGTCCTTTTCAAAAAGGAACTCCTGGAAGTTGAGTTTTCCTGAACTTAAGAGAAGCTACTGCAATATTGCTATGGTTACAAGACACTAAAACATCCTGATAAAAATACAAAATTCAGCCAATTAACCAGGTACTTTGACTACAGGAGGACATAAAATACTGGTAAATATGGGGGCGGGGGGGTTGTTTATTTTTAACTCACGGAAGATTTTTGTTTCCTATTTAATGAAGGGACTGGACTAGTAAGTTTTATAATCCCTTTACCACTAAAAAAAAGTCACAAATCCTTTTATATTTCTAATGTTACAGCAAGTCAAGTGTCAGTGAGGTCAGGAGCAAATAAAAACAAACCAAAATAATGACTCATTATAAAAGGTCCAAGATAGATTTTCTGAGCCTTCCTGTAATGGAAGGCACTAATAATGTGGTTACCACAGCACAGTGGGAAGAAAAGCCTACATGCAAATAAGGAGATCTCCACGTGGGCCTCAGTAATTTAGATAATTTCAACAAATCCAAGAAGAATGAAAAATCTGATATTGAAACCAGCTATTCTATTTGCTTGAGGCTTCTGCATCCAACATCTTACAGAGAGTTCAGAAACCTTGCCCACTGCGTCAAAGCATCCAGAGAGATCGCCGAATGCTTTTACTTGTCATATAGACACGTAGGGTGTGTACACAGTTTTGTATCCTTTTTGGAATTAAAAAAAAAAAAATCCAAATAGCATTCCAAATAACAACCACTCTGACTTATGGAGGGCTCTAAGAAGCAACACTGTGTTTTTAACTATGGTAACAATATACAATAATCGAAGTTTTGAATTGGTTTGACCTCTGGTATAACCGTGTGCTAAATCAAACCACAAAAAAAGAAGTGCTTAAAAACAAAAGAAGGAACCCTGTGGTTTTCTGGATTGAGGCTAGAAACAACTCCCTTTAGCCTCTTTGAGCTTCGTTTTTTCTCCTTCCCCTCTTTGCCACTTGAAGCTCACTGGTGCCACCCAGTGGCCCCCCGAGCATTGCTTCAGCGCCACGAAAGGACCAGCAGGCTCAGTGCTTGCTATCAGTTCTGTCTCAAGTACCACAACGACATTCATATCTACCCTCTGCTGAGCCTTACGGCCTGCCCGAAGCTTTACATGCATTACTTCTTTTCGCTCTTATGACAGACACAGGACATAGAATTTTTTGCATCCATCTGACAGATGGGAACACAGAGGCTTAAAGTTAGGTTAAGAATTTGCTTAATCATAAAGCTAGCTAGCACTTGAGCTGGGATCGGAACCCTTCCTGACTCCAAGTACAAATCTTCATTACTTAGATATGATTACCCACATGCTTACTGCTGCATTTACATAATTATCTGAACCCAAGCTTATAAATAACCAAGCAACACATTCTATAGTAGAAATTTGCTATTCCGAAAGATACAGCTTGATCCCAAGTAAGCGACTAAGATTAATTTTCTGCTTACCTTCCAGCACATCCCGGATTTCGACAGAGACCTTCTCCAAGCAGTTATATAAGTTCTGGACTGTGGCATTATTCTGCTCCTTTTCTTGCCACTTCTTCAGCATCTGAAACTTATAGACGGTAACATCTTCTTCCTTCTCCCGGATAGCATCAATATCACTTATATCCAACTCCAGGTTGACGATGGCAATTTTTATCCACTCCTTCCCCAGCTTCCCAGCAAGGGTAAGCAACTGAGTGTCTGTTAACAGGGTTTTGGCTCCTAAAAGCAGATGAGGAATTCAGCAGTTCCTTTCAATGCATCAGTTACAGCAACTTAACAATGAAAATGTATTCTTCTATTAAAAAGGACACCATGATTTGTAATTGTAGCTACTTTTAAAATATACTTAAATGCCCCCAAACCCCTGCTTTCCAAAATATTTTAAGAACTAAAGGGAACTATTGCATATAATAACATTAAACTGGGGTATAATATTCACAACAATAATTGAAGGAATGGGATTTTTTAGAGAGCAGCACAAAATTAGGTCGGAATAAAAAAGGAAGTCCAGACACCAAAAATAATTTACGTGGCTCGAAAAGATACCTCTGTGTCTATCTAAATGTTAATTAGCACCACTAAAGGGGGCTGCGAGAGATCTGAACTGCAGCCTCCATCATGCCATCTCCTGGCATTAGGGGAAAAGCACATTCCACAGAAAAGTCAAAGGAGAATATCTATAATATCTGTTGATCTCTAAGAAAGTGTCATCGTCTTGGAAGGGCATATATTTGCCAATGGAAACCACTGGCCCCATAAGAAATATTAGCCCTGCTAAAATACTAGATTTTTGATGATCACTTTTATTAGCTGGTTGTGCTATGCTCACTGGGCTGCAGTTTCAGGTAAGCATCCTCAAGGCATTATTTCAAATACTAGAGGGGGACACTGGAAGAGAGTGAGAGATAAAAAGAATACTTCCTGCACCTTCTCCAGGACTGTAACACCTCTGCTCATCTAAAGCCAACAATTTATTAATGTGAATCTAACATGTGTACTTGGACTCTTACCCATCTCAATTTAGAAAGTTTCCTAACTTTCTAAATTGAAGAACAGGTTCTTAAAGATGGCCTGCGCCCTCTAGTGGTTTCCTGATACAAGGCCAATTGCTCCCATCCCTCAAAACTTCTGTTAAAGAAAACTGAACAGGGAACCTATTAAAAATGCAAGTTCTCAAGACAACCCCCAAATCCACCATTATCAGATTCTGAGCCTAAATTGAACAAGATCTGAAAGTGATTCTGTTAAGGTTGAGTCCTGATCATACTTTAAAAAGCAAAAGGTGATATACAGAGTCTGAAACTACCAGGCTAGTGACAGGGTATCTCAAAGAATGTTGTAGAAATACCTAAACAAAAATAAATCTTTATTAATTTGTTTATTTAGATCTCACACTATCAACTCCAAAAAGGCTGGAAATCCTTAATCTTTCTAGGTATATTTATCATTTTAATTCTATTTCTAGCTACATGGTATTGCAGCTAATTTTAAACAGCCAAAGAATTGCATGAATTAAGAAAAACTTGTCCTGTAAACCAATTTAATACATCAGTTATAAGGTTAATAAGTGCTTAGGGTCTAATGTACAGCACAATGACTATAGCTAGTAATACTGTATTCTATACTTCAAATTTGCTAAGAACAGATCTTAAGTGTTCTCACCACCAAAAAAAAAAGTAACTGTTTGCTAACCTGATTGGCAGTTACAATTTTACAGTGTATACATATATCAAACCATCCTGTTGTTCTTTGTTTATATAATTTCATCTGTCAATTATATCTCAATAGAACTTGAAAAAATTTTATCCTAATTTAGCTGAGTTTTAAAAATAATTCCAGAGCCTTGCTTATTTTGATGTTGACTTAAAATAACAAACATTTCTATCGTGATATACAGTAAAATCACACATAGATAATCCTCACAGCCTCCTGCTCTAGAAAATGAAGAATATCCTATTTCACTTTATAGAGAAAGAGTTTATCTGGTTTTAGAGAGTCATAACTTCTTATAATAATAATAAAAGGTATTTTGATAAAAGGGTTAATTTGGAGAGTTACATGATATCCCTAAAGGCTTAAGACCGTGTTACGTATAATCAGAGTTAGGGTTTTTAAACTTAGATTTGTGAATCCTTGCTGTACTTGCATTTTGAGCTACACGCTCCATCTTCTGGCTCCTTAGAGTATTGCTAAATGTTTTAAATCTCTCTTATATTTTCACAACTACAGAGCCTTGGTCTCTGCCATTTAACTGAAAAAAACTAAGACCTGCCTCCAGTGATTGAGAGGGATGTGCTCTACCTAGATATAGCTAAGAACTGTGAAGCTAATGAATGCACACATGGACAGCCACAATGTCATTCATTTGATCAACAGTCATTATCTTCTTCATACAAGCTCCATGCTCATTGCTACTGGAAATGTAAAAATGGACAGGCTATGACCCTATCCTTCAGGACTGCAAGGGAGCTCCCCCACCCCGCTCTGCTCAATTCTGTTGAGACTGAGCGAAGGATCAGAGTGGGGAATCGAATTGGAAAAGTAGGCTGAGGCAGACCAAAAGGGTCCCTATCCAGCCTTGAAAAGCTGAGACACAGGAAGAAGGGATCTGGGACGACACGCACAACTGGGATGTGGCTCTAGAAAGACTGACCGAAGAGCTGTGTGTTGGATAAATGTCAACAGGGAAGACCAGGGAAAATAATTTATAGCCACTGATGACACTGTTACAAACCTGAAGTGTCAGTCTGCTTCATTCTTTTATCATAGACCTCCTCATCAGGTAGGGTGCTACTCATTTTTCGTCGCCTGTTACCTTAAAAAAAAAAATCAACAAATTGGCTTTCCATTCATTATGTTTATTCTTTTCTAGCCACTTTCAATCTAGATTTTTTTTTTAACCATCATTGAGGTAGAAACAATCTTCTCAGGTTGTTCAGAAGATTTAGAGTGACAGAGTGCCTAACAGATGCTTAATGTGACCACCTTTGCGTGGCAAAATAAAAATCATAGCGGATGGAAGGAAGAGAAGAGTAGGTTAAAACTCGCTTAATGTCTAGTTGCTAGCACTCACCACCTGTGCTGCTTTTCGAAACGTTCCGACTCTGCTCATGTTGAACCCAGTCGCCTGTTAAAGTACAATAAGCATCCATTAGAAAAAGTGGTATGAAATCTGAAAGAAATCGATGTGTGAAAGTGTGTGAAGCTCTAGCGCCTTGACAACCTCTCTGAAATTCAAATATGAGTTTGGGGGTTAACTTGAGAGGTAAGCAAATGCACTAGGTTTGACTTTTTGAGATAAATAACAAGTACTCCTTCCAACAGGTCTTGTAGGAGGAAGTGTTTCCCAAACTTGAGCCCTCTGCACACTGCTGTCGTAATTCCTGCCAGACCCATATGCTGGGTGAAATGTTATTCCCTCAGTGTTTCTTAAATCTATAACTACTGTTAGGGGAACATTGGTATCACCTGCCATAGGGAGAAAAAAAGACATAAAAATAAACACTTTTCTATTTTAAATGTATTTATATGTACTCCATCCAAAAAAATCTCATGTATTTTCATTGTGTACTTCGGGTTCTTTCTAGACATGTCGTTGTGATTCAACGCTACCTTCCTTGTATGAAATTTAGCCCCCGCCCTGGGAGGTGTCTACGTCTCACACAGAACTTCCATAGGTCCCTTTAGTGAAGATGCCTTAATAGTGATGACTAATCTCACTTAACCATTAGCTTAGGCCAAATAATAATAATAATTACTATTTTTATTTTATTATTATTATTATCATTATTATTGTATAGAGACCAGAAACACTTTACAATGTAGAGTATTATTACAGAAGTTAAGTCTACGGCCATGCCACCCTGAACAAGCCCGATCCCATCTGATCTCGGATGAGATCAAGCAGAGTCGGGCCTGGTTAGTACTTGGATGGGAGACCACCTAGGAAGACCAGGTGCTGTAGGTGTAAAAAGTAAAATAAAAAAATAAGAGATGGTAAGCTGACAAGGTCCTTGCAATCTGTGAGGTCAACCAAGGGTTGCCTCATCTAAAAATAAAGAAAAATAAAGAAGTTAAAAAAAAAAGTCAAATGTAACAGAGGTCTTATGAAGTGGTCTTTAAAACTACCAAGAGACTTATTCTTAGTCCAGAAGAACATTTGTTACTCAGGCTATTACATGTTAAACACCTCTGTTACTACGGCATTCACAATGACTAAAAAGGAACATCTCTCAGGTTCATTTATTTGAACAAATTGAGGAATATCAAAAAAACAATACAATCCCCAGCACAGAGTCCCAGCCAGACTCTTTACAGGTCTTGGATAAAAGGGCCTGTTTCAAACTGGCTAACTAAAGGTATAATACTGAGAATAAAAATCAATCACATCTATAGAAAAAGCTCATGCTTAAAACTAGGACTGAGAATTAGAAAATAATTAGATCAAGTTTCTTTTCTAGAGCATAAAGGCATGATAGGAAATACAGACTCTACACATAACCCATTGGATACAAAAGAAACGAGCTGAAAAAGGATTCAAGTGTTGTTCAGATGGTGAAGAGGTTTACAGAACACTTAACAGATCCTTTGTGTTATTACATTTGTGCAGCAAAATCAAAATTCTAGAGGAAAAAAGGAATAAGAGGGGTTACAATCCCTTTACTGTCCAGCTACTGGCACTTAGCACTGTGCTGCTTTTTGGAAC